ACACCCCTCCTGTGTGTATATATGTATGTGTGTATATATATATATATATATATTTGTATGTGTGTATATATATATATATACATACATACAATACATCACCAAAAGTATTGGTCGGCCCTTTTCACACACATGACCTTTAATGGCCCCCCAGTCTTAGTCCGTAGGGTTCAATATTGAGTTGGCCCCGCCCTTTGCAGCTATAACAGCTTCAACTCTTCTGGGAAGGCCGTCCACAAGGTTTTAGGAGGGTGTCTATGGGAAGGTTGGACCATTCTTCCAGAAGCACATTTGTGAGGTCAGGCACTGATGTCGGGGGAGGAGGCCTGGCTCACAGTCTCCACTCTAATTCATCCCAAAGGTGTTCTATGGGGTTGAGGTCAGGACTCTGTGCAGGCCAGTCAGGTTCCTCCACCCCAAACTGGCTCCTCCATGTCTTTATGGACCTTGTTTGGTGCACTGGGGGGCAGTCATGTTGGAACAGGAAGGGGCCATCCCCAAACTCTTCCCACAAAGTGGGGAGCATGAAATTGTCCAAAATGTCTTAAGAGTTCCCTTCACTGGAACTAGGGGGCCAAGCCCCACCCCTGAAAAACAACCCCACACCATAATCCCCCCTCCACCAAATAATCCCCCCTCCACCAAACTTTACACTTGGCACAATGCAGTCAGGCAAGTACCGTTCTCCTGGTAGCCACCAAACCCAGACACATCCATCAGATTGCCAGACAGAGAACTGTGATTGGTCACTCCAGAGAACACGACTCCACTGCTCTAGAGTCCAGTGGCGGCATGCTTTACACCACGTCATCTGACGCTTTGCATTGCACTTGGTGATGTAAGGCTTGGATGCAGCTGCTCGGCCATGGAAACCCATTCCATGAAGCTCTCTACGCACTGTTGTTGGGCTCATCTGAAGGCCACACCAAGTTTGGAGGTCTTTAGCTATTGACTCTGCAGACAGTTGGTGACTTCTGCGCACTGTGCGCTTCAGCATGCACTGACCCCGCTCTGTCATGTGACGTGGCCTACCACTTGGTGGCTGAGTTGCTGTTGTTCCCAGTTACTTCCACTTTGTTATAATCCCACTAACAGTTGAGCGTGGAATATTTTAGTAGCCAGGAAATGTCACGGATGGACTTATTGCACAGGTGACAACCTATCACGGGACCACGCTTGGAGTCACTGAGCTCCTGAGAGCGACCCATTCTTTCACCAATGTTTGTAGAAGCCGTCTGCATGCCTAGGGGCGTGATTGTATACACCTGTGTCCATGGAGGGGATTGGAACACCTGAATCACATGATTTGGAGGGCGGGGCCAATACGTTTAGCTGTATAGAGTGTGTTTATATATATCATACACCTTCTCCCCCTCTATATATGATATATACACTGATCAAAAAAATGAAAGGAGCATTTTGAAAACCCATCAGATCTCAATGGGGAGAAATCTCCTGCTGGATCTCTATACTGATATGGACGGGTAATGTGTTAGGAAAGTAAGGATGTCCCATCATTTGATGGAAATGAAAATGATCGACCTACAGAGGACTGAATTCAAAGACACCCCGAAAATCAAAGTGAAGAAATGATGCAGCAGGTGAGTCCATTCTGCTGAAATGTCATTGCAGCAACTCAGAATGGTCCTCAGTAGTGTGTATGGCCCCCACGTGCTTGTATGTATGCCGGACAACGTCGGGGGATGCTCCTAATGAGACCACGGATGGTGTCCTGGGGGATTTCCTCCCAGATCTGGACCAGGACATCACTGAGCTCCTGGACAGTCTGAGGTGCAACCTGGAGGTGTCGGATGGACCAAAACATGACATCCCAGAGGGGTTCTATTGGATTTTTAGGTCAGGTGACCGTGGGGGCCATTCAATGGTATCAATTCCTTCATCCTCCTGGAACTGCCTGCATACTTTCACCACATGAGGCCAGGCATTGTCGTGCACCAGGAGGAACCCAGGACCCACTGCACCAGGAGGAACCCAGAATCTGCACCAGGAGGAACCCAGGACCCACTGCACCAGCTTAGGGTCTGACAATGGGTCCAAGGATTTCATCCCAATACCTAATGGCAGTCAGGGGGCCATTGTCTAGCCTGTAGAGGTCTGTGCGTCCCTCCATGGATATGCCTCCCCAGACCATCACTGACCCACCACCAAAATGGTCATGCTGAACGATGTTACAGGCAGCAGAACGTTCTCCACGGCTTCTCCAGACCCTTTCATGTCTGTCACATGTGCTCAGGGTGAACCTGCTCTCATCTGTGAAAAGCACAGGGTGCCAGTGGTGGACCTGCCAATTCTGGTGTTCAATGGCAAATGCCAATCCAGCTCTATGGTGCCCGGGCAGTGAGCACAAAGCTCACTAGAGGACGTCGGGCCCTCAGGCCACCCTCATGAAGTCTGTTGCTGATTGTTTGGTCAGAGACATTCACACCAGTGGTCTGCTGGAGGTCATTTTGTAGGACTCTGGCAGTGCTCATCCTGTTCCTCCTTGCACAAAGGAGCAGATACCGGTCCTGCTGATGGGTTTAAGGACCTTTTACATCCCTGTCCAGCTCTCCTAGAGTAACTGCCTGTCTCCTGGAATCTCCTCCATGCTCTTGAGACTGTGCTGGGAGACACAGCAATGGCACGTATTGATGCCTGGAGGATTTGGACTGCCTGTGCAACCTCTGTAGGGTCCAGGTATGGCCTCATGCTACCAGTAGTGACACTGACCCTAGCCAAATGCAAAACTAGTGAAAAACTGTCAAACAAGATCAGCAGGGAAAAAAAATGTCAGTGGTCTCCACCTGTAAAACCATTCCTGTTTTGGGGGTTGTCTCATTGTTGCCCATCGAGTGCACCTGTTGTTAATTTCACTAACACCAAAGCAGCTGAAAATGATTAACCCCCTCTGCTACTTACCTGACCAGATCAATATCCCAGAGTTTCATGGACTTGATGCTAGACTCTGATTAAATAGTGTTCCTTTAACTTTTTTGAGCAGTGTATATACACCCCTCCCCCCTCTATGATCTATATATACATCCCTAACCCCTCTATATCCATGATATATACATACACACCCCTTCTATATATATGTATACACTCTTTCATGTGTGATTATATATGTATGTGCGCACTCCCCCCCAACCCCACCATGTGGGTGATATGTCATTGTCCCCCTTTTCCCGGTTTGTTTTCCTCTGTCACTATGATCCGCTCCCTAGGATTTTCTGGGTTTTCTTTGTGTTAGGGTGTATTTCTCCCTCATAAGGGTCCCGTCCTTGAGTTATCTTGTTTCTCACTATCATTAAGGTGCTATGCTCAGGTTCTTCTGATTCTTCTTCCATGTTAATTTGCGATCCTCAGGTTCTCTTGGTTCCTCTTCTTTTGATTTCTCTTTAGGGTGCATCCCTCATTTTCTCTTCTTTTCTCTTTCATTAGAGTGATTCTGGTTCCTCTTCTTCATTAGGGTGCAAGCAGCAGAACCTCTGGTTGCTCTCCTTCATTTAGATTTTCACATCCTATTTGGTTCTTCAATGGCATTAGTGTGGGCCTCAGATTCTTTTGGTTCCTCTCCCTCTCTAGAGTTCAGTCCTAATGTTTCCTTGGTTCCCCTCCCTTAAGGTGCACTTCTTAGATACTTTGTTCCTCTTCCTCATTAGGGTACGACCCTTGGGTTGTGTTAGTTCCGCTGCTCATCATTAGGTTGCGTTCCCTGGGTTCTCTTGGTTTTCTCTCCCCCATTAGGGTGCAATCTTTGGGTTTTCTTTGTTCCTTTGTCTCATTCGTTTGTGATCCTAGAGGTTTGTTGTTTGTTTCTTTTGCCTCAGGATGGTGTGACCTTCAGGTTTTCTTGGTTCCTCACGGCTCTTTACGGTGCCATCTTGGGTTCTCTTGGTTCCTGTTCCTCATTGGGATACGACCTTTAGGTTCTCTTGGTTCTTTTGCCTTATTAGGGTGCGATTCTTATGTGCTCTTGGTTTTCCCTCCCTCATCAGGAGGGTGCGATCTTTGGGTTCTCTTGGTTCCTCTTCCTGCTTGGGGTGTGATCCTTGGGTTCTCTTGGTTCCTTTCCCTCATTTGGGTGCGATCCTCGTTCTTTTGGTTCCTCTCCTTCATTTGGGTGGGGTCCTTGGGTTCTCTTGGTTCCTCACCTTCATTCGGATACAATCTTTGGGTTCCCTTGGTTCCTCTGCCTCAGGGTGCAATCCTTGGGTTATCTTGGTTCTTTTACCTTATTTGGGTGTGATCTCATTCTTTAGGTTCCTCTATTTTTTGTGTGCAATCCTCAAGTTCTCTTGGTTCCTCTCCCTCATTAGGGTGCAATCCTTGGGTTCTCTTGGTTCCTCTCCCTCATTAGGGTGCAATCCTTGGGTTCTCTTGGTTCCTCTCCCTCATTAGGGTGCAATCCTTGAGGGGTCTCTTGGTTCCTCTCCCTCATTAGGGTGCAATCCTTGGGTTCTCTTGGTTCCTCTCCCTCATTAAGGTGCAATCCTTGGGTTCTCTTGGTTGCTCTCCCTCATGAGGGTGTGATCCTTTTGGGTTCTCTTGAGTCCTCTCCCCCATCAGGGTGCAGTTTTATGGTTCTTTTGGTTCCTTTCCCTTATTAAGGTTCAATCATTGGGTTCTCTTAGTATCAATTCTCATTAGGGTGCGATTCTCGGGTTCCTAAGGTTCCTCGGCTTCATTATGGTATGATCCTTGGATTGTCTTGTTTTCTCTGCCTCATTAGGGAGAGATCCTTGGGTTCTCTTGGTTTCTTTTGCCTCATTAGGGTGGGGTTCTTGGGTTCTCTTGGTTCTTTTGCCTCATTAGACTGTACTTGTCAGGATCTTTTGGATGTTCTACCTTATTTTCTTGGTTTCTCCTCAGGCTTTTGTTTTTATTGCTGGCTCCTCCCTTGCTGCGTCTTTCTTATGCTGCAGCCTTGTATTGTCTCTGAGGCCTCCTGTGGGTTTTTGTGTCTTCCAGGTCCTGAGCTTTGTGGCAGAATCTGTGGAGCAATGTCCGAAGGGAGAATAAAGCGGGCACAGGCTCTGACCCCAAACCAGAGAGTGTGGCGTCCATGTCCCCTCCAGTGAGTGCCCCGGCTGCGGCAGAAGAGGAAGAAGAGGAAAGTGAAGATGAATCTGAGATTCTGGAAGAGTCCCCCTGTGGACGCTGGCAGAAGAGGCGAGAAGAGGTGGGTTCATTCAGTTCCTGTCTAGGATTGTGAATGACTGCCACTTGAGGCATTGATGTTGGTGTCTGTGGATGGGTGGCGCTATTAAAAATGGTCAGCAGATTATTAAGTGTTGTTCTTAAAGCCCAACTACAACCAAAACTGCTTTAGGTTTTTCTTTTGGATAGACTTTGGAAGAATAGGCGCTTTCAACTTTTATTGCTGTTTTCAATCTCTTGGGGAGATTTCACTTAATTTTCCCATCCTTGATGGCCTGTGTCACCAGAAAAAAAAAAAAGGGGGGGGGGGGAGCTGTTGTCACTGGTATAGGGATAGGGGGAAATAACTTGTTAAGTGCCACCTTTTCCCTAATCTGTGTCCCGACTGGTGAATTTCCCCATCACTTCCTGTTCCAAAGGGAAGTGAGGGGAAATCTCTCCAGTGAGGTTTCATGAATTGCCACCTTCACTTTTAAAAACTTTTTTCCCCCTTGTAGATTTATTTTTGTATGCAGCTAGTGTAAGAACCTTAATCTGTCTTGGTTTTGGTCCCCCAAGAGACCTGATCTAGTGGATGTGGGGTCCGGGGAGACTGGATATAGTGGATGCAGGGTCTGGGGGAGACTGGATATAGTGGATGCAGGGTCTGGGGAGACTGGATATAGTGGATGCAGGGTCTGGGGAGACTGGATATAGTGGATGCAGGGTCTGGGGAGACTGGATATAGTGGATGCAGGGTCTGGGAGACCGGATATAGTGGATGCAGGGTCCTGGGAGACCAGATAGTGAATGCAGGGTCCTGGAGACCAGATAGTGAATGCAGGGTCCTGGGAGACCGGATCTAGTGAATGCAGGGTCTGGTGAGTCCGGATATAGTGAATGCGGGGTCCTGGGGAGACCGGATATAGTGAATGCAGGGTCCGAGGAGACAGGATCTAGTGAATGCGGGGTCCGGGGAGAGCGGATATAGTGAATGCAGGGTCCTGGGAGAGCGGATATAGTGGATGCACGGTCCGGGGAGAGCCGATATAGTGGATGCAGGGTCTGGCGAGTCCGGATATAGTAAATGCGGGGTCCGGGGAGATCGGATATAGTGAATGCACGGTCCGGGAGAGCGGATATAGTGGATGCAGGGTCCGGGGTTTAGTAACACTTTATTTAGTGAAAAAATAAAAAATCCAGTGGTGACTAAATGATAAAAAGCAAAAAAGTTTGAAAAGAAATGCGTTTTTCTTTTCTGTTACAGAATTTTAAATACATTTAAAATGTAAATAAATAATTGTTCTTTATAAATTCAGACCAAAATTTATTCTGCTACATTTCTTTGCTGAAAATAGCCCAAATACGTGTATATTATTTAGTCTGTAGGAAAGTTATAGAGTCTACTAACTATGAGATACATACAGTATCTCCCAGAAGTGAGTCCACCCCTCACATTTGTGTAAATATTTGATTCTATCTTTTCATGTGACAACACTGAAGAAATGACACTTTGCTACAATGTGACGTAGTCAGTGTACAGCTTGTATAACATGTAAATTTGCTGTCCCCTCAAAATAACTCAACACAGCCATTAATGTCTAAACCGCTGGCAACAAAATTGAGTCCAAAAGTGACAAGGTCCAAATTGGGCCTAAAGTGTCAATATTTTGTGTGGCCGCCATTATTTTCCAGCACTGCCTTAACCCTCTTGTGCATGGAGTTCACCAGAGCTTCACAGGTTGTCACTGGAGTCCTCTTCCCCTCCTCCATGATGACATCACGTAGCTGGTGGATGTTAGAGACCTTGCGCTCCTCCACCTTCCGTTTGAGGATGTCCCACAGATGCTCAATAGGGTTTAGGTCTGGAGACATGCTTGGCCAGTCCATCACCTTCACCCTCAGCTTCTTTAGCAAGGCAGTGGTGGTCTTGGAGTTGTGTTTGGGGTCGGTATGTTGGAATACTGCCCTGAGGCCCAGTCTCTGAAGGGAGGGGATCATGCTCTGCTTCAGTATGTCACAGTACATGTTGGCATTCATGGTTCCCTCAATGAACTGTAGCCCCCCCAGTGCCGGCAGCACTCATGCAGCCCCAGACCATGACACCCCCACCACCATGCTTGACTGTAGGGAAGACACACTTGTCTTTGTACTCCTCACCTGGTTGCCGCCACACACGCTTGACACCATCTGAACCACATCAGTTTATCTTGGTGTCATCAGACCACAGGACATGGCTCCAGTAATCCATGTCCTTAGTCTGCTTGTCTTCAGCAAAACTGTTTGCGGCTTTCTTGTGCATCATCTTTAGAAGAGGCTTCCTTCTGGGATGACAGCCATGCACACCAATTTGATGCAGTGTGCGGCGTATGGTCTGAGAATTGACAGGGCTGACCCCCCCACCCCTTCAACCTCTGCAGCAATGCTGGCAGCACTCATACGTCTATTTCCCAAAGACAACCTCTAGATATGACGCTGAGCACGTGCACTCAACTTCTTTGGTGGACCATGGTGAGGCTTTGTTCTGAGTGGAACCTGTCCTGTTAAACCGCTGTATGGACTTGGCCACCGTGCTGCAGCTCAGTTTCAGGGTCTTGGCAATCTTCTTATAGCCTAGGCCATCTTTATGTAGAGCAACAATTCTTTTTTTCAGATCCTCAGACAGTTCTTTGCCATGTGGTGCCATGTTGAACTTCCAGTGACCAGTATGAGAGAGTGAGAGTGATAACACCAAATGTAACCCACCTGCTCCCCATTCACACCTGAGACCTTGTAACACTAACAAGTCACATGACACTGGGGAGGGAAAATGGCTAATTGGGCCCAATTTGGACCTTGTCACTTAGGGGTGGACTCACTTTTGTTGCCAGCGGTTTAGACATTAATGGCTGTGTGTTGAGTTATGTTGAGGGGACAGCAAATTTCCATGTTTATACAAGCTGTACACTGACTACGTCACATTGTAGCAAAGTGTCATTTCTTCAGTGTTGTCACATGAAAAGATAGAATCAAATATTTACACAATGTGAGGGGGGGACTCACTTCTGGGAGATACTGTATATATCTTTAAAATCGATCAATCCTGATGTACTGACGGCCGATCTCATTTCTTGAGGCCCAAAAATGTCAGGACAGTGCAAATATCCACCAAAAGACCTCTTTTTGGGAAAGTAGACAATTTACTGTATTTAGTAAGAGAGGCATGTCAAGTTTTTTTTTTTTTTTTTTTTTAAAGTTGTACATTTTTTTTGTCATTAAAAAAAAATATATCTTTTTTTTTTTTTTTTTTAGCATGCTGTCACCAGTGTAGTACAGCATCATCACATAACTGGTGTGGCAGTGATCAGGGACACTGGTCACAGTATGGAAAAAAAAACAAAACTTAATTTTTTTATTACATTTTTTTCTTTTATTTAATTTTTTTTTAACTCTGTGACCAGTGCAATATGTTACCATAGTAACACCATACTATGGGGAAGTGATCAGGATTTTCTTTTTTTACACATTATTATTGCTTTTTGCAATGAACTTCATTGCTATAAGCAAGCATTTTACTGTTTATTGTGATTAGCTGTGACTGGCCACAGGTAATCATATGGTGCAGATGGGCTGTGATTGGTCCTGTCTGTACTATGTGATCACACCTAACAACACAATTGTAACAACGAATGGTATGAATCTAAGCCATCACTGTTTATAATTGTCATGCGATCTGCTGTGATTGGTCTCAGCGATCACATGGTACCGGCAGCGATACACTGATCATTCAGAACCGCTGTGTCCGGTGGACACAGCCGGTGACAGATCACGCCGCAGCGCAAATCGTTCCGGGAGTATGTCATATAATGTCCACCCAGAACGACAAAAGTCCCACCCAGCCATCAGATTGCTATAGACTGGGCAAGAAATGGTTAGGTGGCATAAAATTTAGGCCAAAATGTATTCTTCTCCATGTCTTTGCTAAAAAAATAAAATCCCAATACGTGTAAATTAATTGGTTTACGTGAAAGTTATAGCGTCTACAAATGGCGGTATAGATACTGGGATTTTTATTTTTTTTTTTTTTTTTTTTACTAGTAATGGCGGCGATCAGCGACTTCTAGCAGGACTGCGGCGAGCATTCTGACACTGGGGGGTGGGAATGGATTTGACATCCCCAGTGACACCAATATAGGGATCTTTGCTAATAAGCACTGACACTGTACTAATGGCATTGGGCAGGAAGGGGTTAACATCTGGGGCAATCAAAAGGGTTAACTGTGTGCTGTTTTACTATTATTATTATTATTATTATTATACAGTATTATAAAGCGCCAATAGTTCGCTCAGCGCTGTACATTACAAAAGGGAGACAGAACATGTGACAGAACAATACCAATACAATGCAAAACATGAGGGGATCAAGGGCCCTGCTCTTTCGAGCTTACAATCTAGAGGGAGGGTGGGTGGCACAGGAGGAGATAGCTGTGGGGATGGAGTGGTAGGAAGAGTGGAGGAGGTCGGCAAAGTTAGCAGGGGGTGGGGTAGGCTTCCCTGAAGAGAGGGTTTTCAGGGTGCGCCTAAAGGAGAGGAGAGTAGGTGATAATCTGATGGGGGTTGGGTGCAGGGAGTTCCAGAGGATGGGTGACACCCTGGAGAAGTCCTGGAGGCGGGCATGGGAGGAGGAGACCAGGGAACCTGAGAGAAGGAGGTCTTGTGAGGAGCGGAGTGTGCGTGCTGGGCGGTACTTGGATATTAGGTCAGAGATGTAGTTCGGGGCAGTATGGTGGACAGCTTTGTACGTCAGCGTTAGGATTTTGAAATTTGATCCGTTGCGCAATCGGAAGCCAGTGGAGGGATTGGCAGAGGGGGGTGGCGGAGATGGAGCGGTTGGAAAGGTGAATGAGTCTGGCAGCCGTGTTCAGGATGGACTGAAGCGGGGATAGCCAGCGGTGAGGCAGGCCAGTGAGGAGGGAGTTGCAGTAGTCGAGTCGTGATATGATGAGGGAGTGGATGAGCTGTTTAGTGGGGGGGGTGTTGGTTTCTGGGGTTTAGGAAACGTGC